GGGTCTCCGAAATTCCGGCCTCCTGACCGCTCCATAGCCAGCTGCGTGGCCCAGACTCCTTTTTCTTGGTCCGAAAGACTTCTGGGAACCCAAGAGAGCAACGAGGAGACCTCATCTTGACTGACCCTCTTACCTGTCTCCAGATCCCAGACCCCTGACGCGAAACGAGGAACCCGTTTTCTGACCGGGCGGGCGAGGTCTCTCGCCGCGGCTTTGAAGCTCTTAACAATCCAGCTGCCGTGAGATCCTGGGTCGGGAAGGGCGTCAAGGATCTCAGCCTGGGCCGGGATCTTCCTGTTCAGAAAGAAAAGGGATGAGGCAGAGGAGGAAGGACGGGAATGAGAGACATGGGCAGGGCTTCCTTTTTCATCAGGACTTCTGGCTTCAAGCCTAGCAGACCGTCCCGAGAGGTCGACAGAGCCGGAAGCATCTGCCTTCGTGCATGCGTCACTCTGGGTGGCGCCTAGCTCTCCTCGTCCTCCTGAGGCGCGGCCACCGGGCGCAGAGCTCCGAGCCCCTTCATCACGCTGATCAGCAGGTCCATCTGCCGTTGGCGCTCCTTGCGGTCCTCCACCATCATCCACTGCATCGTCTCGAAGCCCTTCTCGATGTTGCTGAGGTTGCCGCTGCTGCTGCTCGCCGCACCGGCGCTGCCTGCCGCGCTGCTGATCGCCCTCGGCTTCGTGACTGGCAAGGACTTCTTCGCCGTCGGCGGTGGCGGCTTGACCGGCACCCCGTCGCAGAACTCGACGTACCTCGACGGAGCCTTGTACCTCGGCGGAGGCTCGACCTTGATCTCCGCCGGCGACTCCTCCTTCTCGACCTTCGTCTTGGACTCGCGCTTGGCCAGCACCTTGCGCTTGGTCTCCTCGATCCCCTCCTTCGTTTTCCTCACGAAGCTGAGCCGGGTGTCGCAGATCCGGCACTTCGTGTAGTACCCGTACCCGTTTCCGCCGCACCACCTCGCCTCCATCGGATGGGAGCAGCTCGCTTTCGCTTCCTCCTCCTCGCTCTTCACCTTGGACATGCGAGGGGCTACGATCGCCGACAGACGGGAAATCGCACACACCCTGAGGTACAGCATCATCTTGATCGACCACCTCCTCCAGGTGCGCGCAGCTGGGCTGAGCAGGAAGGCACCCTCGAAGAACAGCTCCTTCTCCACCGCCGTCATGCTCTCCTCCTCGTAGTTGATTGAGCTCAGCATGCCGTCTATCCAAGGATCTGGAGTCTGGTCCCAGTTCATCTCGAGCTCCGAGTCGGGGTCCTCCTCCGTGTTCTCGGGAATGACCTCCAGGTCCTCGTCGGGCTGGAAGTCGTCGCGCTGGGCCTTCAGCGCCTGGTGCCTCAAGCTCCGTAGCGAGCGGGCGCTCCGGCTCTTGATGATCCTGATCTTCTCGCTCTGGTGCTGTCCTAGTGGTACCGCTGGTCGGTCTCGCTGGTTTGGCTGCTTGCTGGCATTGCTTGAGCCGGGATGTGCTACGGAGGATCGGCTAGTCCCGAGACCTGAAAACTGTCTGGTCCTGGTACCCGGCTGTTCTGAATCGAGGCCTAGAGAGAGAGGGAAAGAGTGATATCTACCGCACGTGCCCCGCTGCAGCCCTTCCCCTAAGTCCTGATTCGAGCGCTCGATCGGGAACTCGGTGCACCCGATCCAGCGGCCCGTGAAGCTCAGGGTCTCGCTCGGGACGCCGTCGACCCAGATGCTCTTGACAACGCTGCAAGCGGAAAACTCACTGTCAAGCATCTGGTACGTGACACGGCCCGGCCCTGACTGCGAGACTGGAACAGGAGGCGGCTCAGCCTCGGGGAAACTGAAAGCCTCACGGCGAGGGCCCACGTGCACTCGACGAACAGCACCTGGAACCTGAACCCAGCAGTCCTGGAGCGTCATCGGGATCTCTGCCCAGACATCACCACGACCTGCCTTCACGACGAAAGGCGGAAATTTGCTGGCCAGATCCTCACTGATGGCGAACTCGCTCGGCTTGCATCCTATCAATGATACTGCTCGATGCCCCGAAGGAAGCTTGAGCAGATCCAAATCACGTCGACTTCCATCCTCTCCAATCGTCATCACATTACGACGCAGGTCTATTACTGCCCTCAGAAAATCGAGAAACTTCGCCGGAAGCAAGGGGGGGCAAGGATGCGGGAGGACCAGGAACTCCACTACTCCACAATGTTGAAGCGACACTGGAACTGCTGCAACTCCGACTGGCTTGACTTTTCCTCCGACTCCGTTCGCCGTGGGGACTCTGTCGGTGTCGACAAAATGTATCTCGAAACCCTTTTTCTTGAAAGCAGCCCTCAACTTGTCGATGTCTGGTGTGCCTATCAGAGCCTGTCCAGCAGCGGTGTCTACCAGCGCATACTCGTCCATGTCCTGCAGCGTCGCCGCCGCGAGCATCTCCAGATCCACCTGACCCAGGTCGTGCTCCTGCTGGTCCACCTGACCCGCAGTCGCGGCGGCAGCGGAGAGCGAGCCCACCTGGCCCGACTCATCCAAAATCGCTGCCCAGCTCGTCCCGGAGTGGGTCGCGTCGTAGTCCAAATTGAAGTAGAACGAGCTCTGCGCTGGCTTCTTGTCCGGGCCCTTGTTGACCGCTGCCGGCCGTGATGACTCGGACTTCAGCCTATCGGCCTTACTCCGATATGGTCGTCGACAGTCTTCTCGCCAATGCCCTTTTTCCCCGCAGTTCGAACAGCGGGACCTCTTTTTAAAATCGTCTCTGGTGACCTTCTTCGTTCCCTTTCCCTTGCTGCGGTCAAAGAAATCCCTGTCCACTTTTCTGTTCGTCTTGAGCTGCCTAGACTCTGCCCACGTACGACGACGCTGAGGGAGCGTCACCTCAGCAAACACCTCGATGATGTGCTCCTCGTCAAGATCCTGTGAGTCCAGCGAAACGAGGATGGTGGCGAGCTCCTGCTCATCGAACTCCATTTCGTAGAGCCCGAAACACTCGCTGTCGTCACATGCATCGCACTCGTAATCCCCTGCCGCGTCGAGGACCGGTACCGTGGTCGCGAAGCTCCTGGCCTGAGCTGGAGCCTGTGGCTTCGGGAGCGTCTGACTCTCAGTGATGTCCAGTTCCAGTAGGGCAGAACGAACAGCCTCCACGGTCCTTTTGCCAGCCATCAGGGTCCTCAGGTTGAGTCGAAGCTGGGGGTTCAAGTTAGCTCCTTCCTCGTAGTACCTGGCCTTCACCGTGTCAGGAAGTGTCAGTCCCAGCCGTTCTGCGGCCGCAATCTGTTGATCTCTCCTGATAACGTAGTCCGTGAGGGACTCTCCCTTCTTTATCGAGTAGTCAAATAGTGCCTGATTGTGGGCCTCACGCTCTTTATCCCCTGGACGCTCCCCGTTGAGCAACTTCAGATGGTCAATGACCTTACTGAGGCCGTCGCTCTCGTCGGTCAGGTGCCTGATACTCTTGAATCTCGCCTGAAGCTCGATGGGGAACGTCTCGATCACTCGCCCGGCGCGGGTCTCCGCCTTGAATGCGGTCCGCCCGTCCCAGGACTTAAGACTTGCCAAGTACAGCTCCAAATTCTCTAGCCCATGCCACGTCGGAGGCGCTGAATAGTCTCGATTGACTTCATCCCCAGGTGCCTTTCCCCACAAGCCGGAACCCCACCAGCTCCAGGAGGAAGACCAATGCCAATCAGACCAGCCTGCGCGCCCCCAGTTTCTCCAAGCGTCCTCATCTGACTCAGGGCCGGCTGCGGCCCCGTGTATCTTCTGAGGAGTGGAGATCCTTTCCCATGGGTCGATCACATGGGCGCCCTCTCGCTCGGGAACCTCCTGATTTCGTGCAGCACCCTCAGCACCTGGCTCAGCGGCGCCCCCTTGACCCAGTGCCTCGTCCACGCTCCGGCTACCATTGTCTGCAGGCATCGGGGGCAGGGAGGGTCGAAAGGCCTAGAAGGAACACCTTTTCTCAACCAAGTGTGTGAGATAGCACTATCATTCAGTCCTCAGGCGCGAGAGCGCCCCAAAGCCAAATTGGCTGCGTAACCACTGTCGGTCACAAAGAGGCGAGGGGAGGAGAGGAAAATGAGAACAGCAACATGAGAATTTGACCTCCCAGGAGTTGCATCCGAGATGACTGAAGAGATGTACGAGCAAGGGAAGCGGGGAGGCAAGAGGCAGAAGGATTACCAGGGTTACCGCCATCACAAGAATGATGCAAAGCAAAACCAATCCCCAACGTTCCCTTACTCTCGGCGCCTTGGCACCGAGACAGTTCCTGCGAAGGGCGGAAGAGAAGCAACACAAAGACGTTCGCCCTACGGCGCCTGCGGGGTCCTCAGAACCTGCGTGCGCACTCCTCCAAAACGTAGCGCGCAGGAGAGAGGAGGGGGGGGGAGGATAAGTATGGGAGTGGATGCCAGGAAGCAGGGAACCAGGCTGTTGCGGGGCGACCTGACGTCACTTTGAAACCAAAAAACAAAGGCTCCCCCCCTCGGAATCTGAGAGGTCCGCTTCCTCCGCATCCGAGCAGGGAGGCAGGGAGGCAGGAGGAGGCAGAAGGGAGGAGGGAGGAGGAGGATGGGAATGGATACCACAATGCTCTGTATCCCAAAAGAGAATCCGACACAGGATCGGGAAGGGAACACCTGCGTGAACACAAACTGTTGGAGCTCCGCGTGGATTTCTCGGATCTGCGCCGAGCCCCCCCTCCCCGGCGCGCCGAGCGCGCCAGGGGCGGCGCGGGGGGCGCCGCCAGGGGTTCCGGACGACTTGCAAGAGATCCGCCAGGATCTCCGAAAACTCATGTCTATGAAATTGTGCCATGTTCGACTGACCCTCCTCCTCCTCCTCCTCCTCCTCCTCCTCCTCCTTCCCCTCCTCCTCCCCCTCCTCCCCCTCCTCCCCCTCCTCCTCCTCCTCCTCCTCCTCCTCCTCCTCTCCTCCTCCTCCTCCTCCTCCTCCTCCTCCTCCTCCTCCTCCTCCTCCTCCTCCTCCTCCGTCGCCCGTGCCCGCGACCGCCGGAGGGCGCCTCGGGAAGGGAGTGGTCGTCGTCACGGCCCCGTGCTCCGCGCCGCCCTGGGGGCAGAGCCCGGGGTCCTGCCGGGCGGGCCGGGAAGGGGGGAGAGATCCATAGGGGAACAGGAAGTAACAGAACCATACAAACTCGGAGGTCCGCGCGGATTTCTCGGATCCCCCTGGCGCGCTCCGCGCACCAGGGAGGGGGGTCCAGCGCCGATCCGAGAAATCCGCGCGGACCTCCGAGTTTTTACCCCTAGCGAAGGGGGGAGGTAACTATCCAGCGGCCCAGGGAGCCACACAGAAATCTGCACACGCCCCAGGAGCCCAACTGGTATTCTCCGTGCTTCGTGGATGCTCCTTGTCTCCTCCGCTTCCCTCGGGAGCGGCCAAGAGGGGGGTGTCCAAGAGGAGGGGGTGCAAATCATGACCGGCGGCATGTGCGCGGCCCAGCGCGGGGTCCAAAATACGTAATGAAACAAGAAGAGGCGCTATGAAATCTGGGGAAATATCATGGCCCCCGCCATGATATCCCCCCCCTAGTCATCACCCCCCTCTTTGCTGCCCCCGATTCCCATGGGGATAAGAGCTTGCTTGTGCTCGTGCTGACCCTGCCCCAGCTGCAAACATAGGCGGGCGCCAACTGTGCGGCCACTCCGATGCTGGCCGGGCTCGTCCTGGGCCCAGGACCGGTGCCTATGCTCTCCCGCGAACGCCAGGAGAGCGTAGGCTAAAACGACGCGAAGATCGGGACAAAATCGGATCGGGATAACTCGAAATCTCTGAGAATCGGCGGGTTTGGAGGATGTATTGGGCGCCGCGGCCGCTCCAGAGCGTTCCGGAACGCTCTGAGAGCGCTCCGGAACGCTCTGGAGCGATTTATCCCGATCCTAGCCCTGTTTTACTGGTTCTGGGCCTCAAGGTGGGTTGGTCCGGGATCGGTGCCGGCTTGGGTCGGGCACGGCCTCCTCCAGGCGGATCTTGGAGGAAATATTGAACATAGTCAACACGTGTTCAAACATAGTCAACAAGTAGGCGAAACATCGTCCCCTGATCATTTTTTGACTACTCTTGAGTATTCCTCCTGAAGAGGGACCAGCCCGATTTAAGTGTAGGTGTAGATGTATAGTTGCTGCTCTCCAGGGCACAGCAAATCGAGGGTTCGCGAGCCCGCTCACGAAGGGGCGCGACGGGGGTGGCCTTCCGGGGGGCGCGGAGGGCTGTCCAGACAGGCAGTTGGGCTGCTTAGAGGCCCTCCCGCGGTCTGCGACGCCTGAAAATCTGAGAGGCCCCCCCCGTCACTTCCCTGCCTACCTGCCAAACCACCCCCCCGCCCAGCCCGAAGTCCCAAATCTCGGGTGGGTGGGAGGTACGCTTACGTCGGGCGTGTCCCCTACAAGGGGGATTTCCGACGAAAAATAATAAAAAAAAAAACACAAATATTCAAAGAATAATTCCAAAATAGTCTGGAGACTACTTTTTGTCCTTTTTGGGATATGCTTTGGGGTATTTTTTATTTTTCGTCGAGAATCCCCCTGTAGGGGGACACGCCCGACATAAAGGCACGGGCCCCGCATGCGGTTTGTCACTGCCCCCCGACGCCCCCCCTTCCCCCCCCCCCGAGAGTGGAGGGCTTTCGGGTTGGGTTGGGGGTGGCTTGGCGGGTAGTGCTTCTCAGAAGGCCGCCCCCCTCGCGCCACTCGCCAAGGCTGGGCTACTGGCGATGTTGCTCAACGGTGATGTTGGGGACCAAATTGTAAGACATCGCGAACCACACGCTCCTACATCTCCAGTCTGCGAGTTCTAGGAAAGCGCGAGCTCCGCGTTCCCACAAAACCAAAACCTACATCGCCACTATCTACATCGCCGTTAGCCCGTCTACGGTTCGTGCCATGTTCCGTTACCTTTCACTGTGCCTTGGTGGACTGCGTCGGTACCACCGCCACCGCTCCAAGGTTCGCCGCCCCGGTTCTGGGCGGCACCCTCTTCCGCCCGCCACTCTAACCTCCTTCGATGTCCCATGTTATTCCCAATAGCCTCCCTGGTCGAACTGCTGTTCACCGGGCGATTCTTCCTCCTCCTCCTCCTCCTCCTCCTCCTCCTCCTCCTCCTCCTCCTCCTCTCTCTCCTCCTCCTCCTCCTCCTCCTGCTCCTCCTC